ACTCCGGATGTTGTCGGGCGCCACAACATAACCTAACCGTTGAACGGGGGTTCTGGAACTTGTAAGTAAATAAGTAAAGGACCCTTTTCCACGCCTTCGGGCGTATTGGACATAGAGGGCTAGACCTATATTCTCTAGACCAATCGGCACTTGGTGGATGATGTGACCAAAATCACGCCGGCCGCCTTTACTTCTCAGGACTACACCGGATACCTACTCAAGGTTGGGTCAACCTGGGGTCCAAGGTCATTTTTGAAAAAGTCAGGCTCCGTAGGGACCCGAACCCACAGCCTTCCGATCCGCAGGCGAGCGTCTAGCTACTACACCACACCCACTTCCCCAGTGACTTTGTGACATACAGCTTTCTTTTGATTGAGGTTTGAACAGGATAGATGATGCTCCCTGTAAGCAGCATTCACTTTGCGACCTGACAGACTAGATAGACACGGAAGACATAGAAACACAAGCACCGAACACTACGCAGTGAAATAGCAACACAATTTGTTTCATTATTATAACATTAACATGGACACTATGTAAAGTCCATATAACCAAAATCTCCACCTGCCAGATGAGATGCCTGAGAAAAGCAGCTAACCTAACCATACGAGATCAAGTGAATAATGAAACTATCAGGCAAATTGTGGGAACGACACCTTGTACTAGATTCATCGAGAAACAGCAGATCAAGTGGTTTGGCCATCTCGTTAGAATGCAGCAAGATCGAATACCATCACAAGCACTACATCTCAGAAGATCAGCTACAAGAGCAAGAGGACAGCCGCGGAAAACATGGATCGACGACATTAAAGACACACTACGCCATCACGGCATGACAATAGCCAGTGGCAGCCAACGTGCACTGGATCGCATATTATTCCTCCCCACGACGCTTAACGGCAGAAGTGGTTTATGATGATGATTATAACTTTGTGTCACCGGGTGTTTATTGATCAGTGTGACGTCCTGGTGGGGTAGCATTTACACACTGACCACTTGGTCTACGGTATTCTAGGAATATTTATATAGCATCTCAGTTCAAAATCTCCAATTTCTTTTGGGGTCAAAGATTCTGTAGAGTACATACATGACTCGCATACTGAAAAAAAAAGAATTGCAGCCTTTTTCTTCTGCGTTCATCTGAGGAACGTTATTGCCCTGTTACGGTTATCAGCATCATTGCGATATTTGCGCCTTTCGGCGGACACATCCAACATCCTCAGAATGTTTTGCCTATTGTAGCCTAGTCTTGGGATTGCTTTTAAAGCTGAGGGTTCTGTGTGTTCTGCAAACTATATCGCGGAACCCTTAAATTTTTCCACGAACCCAGAAAACGGGAAGGACTGATGTAGTTAGACGTTTTTAGAGCTTTCGGTCTTAGAAACAGTAGTGGTATTATACTTATACTGTTGTGAACTGATTGGCACTCGTGGACGCAAAAGGAAGATGTAGAAACAAAGGAACACATTGGAAAACATGGAGTCAAAAACTGTCGTTACAGCAGGGATCAAACCTGTCGCCTTCCGATACAGACGAAGCCTCGCTGCAGGAACTGAAGTTGCCCAGATGTAGTTACTAGGGCAGTACCGAATAGCGATTTTTACTATGTGGCCGAATACGAATAGCGGGACCAACTATTCGGCCGATTACGAATAGTTTATCATCAGCATCAGGTGCCTTGCCGACTGGCGTGGGCGATTATGCCTCGCCAAAATCTGCGATCTCCTGCAGCATGTATAATTCGTGTGCTGACACACCTCCATGACATGCAACAATACTGTCAAGAATCTTATCTCGTTGTCTTCCTCTATCCCTCTTTCCACAAATCTTTCCAGTGGTCACCACACACACACACACACACACACACACACACACAACAAAAATGAACGCATATAAGTGCTTACTTTACGAGGCTAACGAGGTCGCAGTTTCCCCCGCTTCGACAGACTTAGGCAGCATAAACTATTGTGTTAATGAGAGTTATTTCAGTCCATCGCAGTGTATGTAGAGGCGGGTGTAAAGTAACCACTATTCGAATTCGGCCCGACCGCAAGTATTCGGCCCGACCGCACGTATTCGGCCGAATACCGAATAGTTCCTGTGGCTACACACGGATGTGAGTCGTGGAATATCTCTCAGTCCTTAAGAAAGAGAATAGGGGCCTTTGAGCTGCAATGCTATAGAAAGATTCTCAGAATATCTTGGACAAAGAAGATGAGAAATACTGACATCTTAAAAGATCTCAACATTAAGGAAGATTGGCTAATAAACAGCATCCTTTCTCGAAAGCTGAAATATTTTGGTCATATCAAGCGCCACGACGGATTGGAAAAAAATATAGCAGAAGGCATGGTACCAGGAAGGAGAAGCAGAGGCAGACAGACACGAAGATGGGCACAGAATATAAGTGACTCCTTGAGTGTGAAAGTTCATGAGGCGGGAGAACTGGCAAGAAACCGAGTTTCTTACAGGCAGTCTGTGATGAGAGCGACGTTCTGCAAAGGACCTTCTACATGATGATGATGACCGAAAAGTTATTAGATCCACTATTCGGCCTCGAAGCGAATACGAAGCGACTATTCGGTACAGCCCTAGTAGTTACCAAAGATTTTCGGTTTGTATGCTGTCTAGCGTGTCCTCTTGATTCTACTTCGTTCTTCAGCATTTATGAGTGACAGTTAGTTCATTATACATTATATATCAAACAATTTCCATAGCCTCTGGGGGCAGTGGTTCTTTAGCTTCTTAATGCCGTGACACTTTAACACAGTTCCTCATGTTGTGGCGACCCTTTAATACAGTTCCTCATGTTGTGGCGACCCTTTAACACAGTTCCTCATGTTGTGGCGACCCTTTAATACAGTTCTTCATGTTGTGGCGACCCTTTAACACAGTTCCTCATGTTGTGGCTACCCTTTAATATAGTTCCTCATGTTGTGGCGACCCTTTAACACAGTTCCTCGTGTTGTGGCGACCCTTTAATATAGTTCCTCATCTTGTGGCGACCCTTTAATACGGTTCTTCGTGTTGTGGTGACCCTTTAATACAGTCCCTCATGTTGTCGCGACCCTTTAATACAGTTCTTCATGTTGTGGCGACCCTTTAATACAGTCCCTCATGTTGTGGCGACCCTCTAATACAGTTCCTCATGTTGTGGCGACCCTTTAATACAGTTCTTCATGTTGTGGCTACCCTTTAATAAGTTCTTCATGTTGTGGCGACCCTTAATACAGTTCCTCATGTTGTGGCGACCCTTTAATACAGTTCATCATGTTGTAGCGACCATTTGATACAGTTCCTAATGTTGTGGCGACCCTTTGATACAGTTCCTAATGTTGTTGCAACCCTTTAATACAGTTCCTAATGTTGTGGCGACCCTTTAATACAGTTCCTTATGTTGTGGCGACCCTTAAATACAGTTCCTCATGTTGTGGCGACCCTTTAATACAGTTCTCATGTTGTGGCCACACTTTAATACAGTTCCTCATGTTGTGGCGACCCTTTAATATAGTTCTTCATGTTGTGGCTACCCTTTGATACAGTTCCTAATGTTGTGGCGACCCTTTGATACAGTTCCCAATGTTGTGGCGACCCTTTGATACAGTTCCTCATGTTGTGGCGACCCTTTAATACAGTCCCTCATGTTGTGGCGACCCATTAATACAGTTCCTCATGTTGTGGCTACCCTTTAATACAGTTCTTCATGTTGTGGCGACCCTTTAATACAGTTCTTCATGTTGTGGCGACCCTTTGATACAGTTCATCATGTTGTGGCGACCCTTTAATACAGTTCTCATGTTGTGGCGACCCTTTAATACAGTTCCTCATGTTGTGGCAACCCTTTAATACAGTTCTTCATGTTGTGGCGACCCTTTGATACAGTTTCTAATGTTGTGGCGACCCTCATGTTGTAGCGACCCTTTAATACAGTTCCTCATGTTGTTGCGACCCTTTGATACAGTTCCTCATGTTGTGGCGACCATTTAATACAGTTCCCCATGTTGTGGCTACCCTTTAATACAGTTCCTCATGTTGTGTCGACCCTTTGTTACAGTTCCTCATGTTGTGGCGACCCTTTAATACAGTTCACATGTTGTGGCGACCCTTTAATACAGTTCATAATGTTGTGGCGACCCTTTAATACAGTTCATAATGTTGTGGCGACCCTTTAATACAGTTCCTCATGTTGTGGCGACCCTTTAATACAGTTCCTCATGCTGTGGCGACTTTTTAAAACAGTTCCTCATATGTGGCGACCCTTCAGTACAGTCCCTCATGTTGTGGCGACCCCCCACACCCCCCCCCCCAAACACACACCAAACCATGCCAGTTTTTTCGTCGCTACTTCATAACTTCAATGAATATGTGTTTTGCGATAGTCTTTCCCAAAAAGGTCGTGACCCATAGGTTGAGAACCGCTGCTCTAGGGTTCTATACAATTTCTGTGTTTCACGTAAAAGCAGTCCTACGAGAAAAAGAATTCTACCTCATATATGTAAAGTTCTGAGCTTCCGAAATTTGTGTCTGTTTTGCTTCAGGGTTACCAGAACCTGGTGTTGTAGACTTCTTGAGCCCCCCCCCCCCCCCCCAACCCCCTTCCCGAAAATTTTTTGTAAGAGGCTAGAACATTTTTAAGTGGGCTAACCGACCTTCTAACCATTAAATGGAGTTCTGTTATAAAGTATGCGTGTATAATGCATACATTTCATATTATTTTAAATACATCACCTTATTATTATTGTTGTTGTTATTATTATTATTATTATTACACTTAAACAAGACATAGCGCCCCCCCCCCACCCCTTGAGCTCCACCCAATTATTTTCTATGTGTCGCCGCCCTAGCTTTTCATATCAGTCTGTAGCGGTGTTTACTTTGTTGCGCAGTGATAGATGTGACGATCAGCGTTATTGGACATTAAATTACTTTCGACATTGAAACCAGTTTGTGCTCGGGGTTTCCCCGAAATTCGTCAGGATATCTGACATCAACCGAACATCATGGCTACCCTGTCCAGTCCGGACAGCGACGATCCGCTAGGCATTGGCCGAAAACTAGGAATGCATCACCACTGCCCTCACATCGTCATCAGTGGTAGCAGCAGTAACAACAACAACAATAACAACAACAACAGCAAGAACTACCAACACGATCCTCTGGCACACAAGCATGTAGAGGAGAACATCGAGACCTTTCTGGAAACCTTCAAACATAAAACCTGGTGCGTGGACTCCAGCAAAGGCGGTCTGCTCGACCGGCGGCCGAGTTCCGACTCCGGGGACTCCTCCACTGGCTGGACCAGCTCAGCCATTTCAACCACCGATGACCTGTCAACGGACAGCCCAGAACGGGACACGGACGTGGCGCAGACGTCTTCCTGGCACGACCGCGAAGGGATAATAGCCGAGAGCAGACGTATTGCTCGATGGGCCTGGCGTCAGGCGAGGTTTGCAGGCAGCCAAGAGACGCCTTGTGCCTGTTCCTACCACCCTGCCAGTAAGTGAGCTTCATTTACTGCATGCTCTTATTGATTTAACCTCACTTTTTTCTTGTTAGTGGCACGTTTGTTATGTGTTTGATATTTTAATAAGTTTCACTTTATACTAAAAGTGGCAGAATCTGATAATGGAGTATTTTCTTAAAGTCCAAACTTCTTTCTCGTGTACTTTCAGTCAACTCTAACACAGCTGATCCTCCACGCCGTGATGTCAAACTGTCCATGATCTTTTCGCTCGGTCTGCCTCTGCCTCTCCTTTCTTTCAACTTTCCTACTTTCACTATGTACTCCAGTTTTCTCCTTCCCATCACATGACCAAAGAATCTAGATTAGGGAGGGGAGGGGGGATGGTTAGTGGTCTAGAGGCATGGTGTCTGCCTCCAGTGCTAGATGTTCCGGGTTTATGTCTCTTTCTGGTGTGGACAATCAGTTTTCTTCTTGAGTCAGTGGTATACGCAGTTGTGATTGCGGTTTTTGCACCTGATGTGTTTCGAAAAACTAAGAGACCTTGAGCTGGCTTATCACGTTATGGTCCATAGTAGATTAAGCGGACGACCAGGAGTTGCTGAAGAAAATGCAGTATCTGATAATGCGGTACATCTCTCCCACCCGCCCCGCCCCCCCCCCCCACCACCCCAGACAAAAAAAGGTGCCGTACTCTACACAAAGTGTTTCATGTTCTTCGTTGTTCAGCGGCTTTTAGCTCTGGTTGTTCTTTCATCTGGTCTTTGGCTTTGTGCCAGGGCCTGAGTTTTGCGGGTACATCTGTTTTACTGGCTTATTTGTGTGTGTAGTTGTTTGTTCCTAGCCGCTCCGGCACTGGCAGATGCACTCAGACTTCGAAGTAGGTTATAAACTGTTTGAAAAAGTGCCTGTACTCAGCACAGAGTGTTTATTTCGGCAGCACTGAAAAAAAAAAAAAATCAATGTTGCCTTTTTTGTAGAAAAAAAAAAGATGCCGGTATTGGGTGCCACCAGAAACAGCCATGGGTGTCATTCATCATCTCATCATGCAATCTGTCTCCTTCTTCTGCCTTCCTAACCTCCAATGAAGCATAAGCCCTCAACCAACTTATGCCAAGTAGTTCTATTCTTTGCCATCGCATGCAGCTCCCCCCCTCCCCCTCCCCCGTCATTCTCATCTTTAAAGCCTCACACTCTAGCTCCCTCCTCCATGTGTTTTTTTTGGCCTTCCCTTATTACGGTGCCCCTGTGGGTTCCAGCTCGAAATCATTCTAGTTATGTTCTCAGGTTTCCTCAACATATGTCTTTTCTTCACCTCTTGGTCCACTGGAACTGGCCGTGTAAACGTCATTTAATATTTTTGTGGACCAGTCGGCACTCTGTGGGTGATGTGGTCAACACCACACCGGCCGCCTTTTCTTCCCTTTACTTTCCTGGGTATTGATTTTAGGCTAGGTAGACCTAGGAGCCAAAGCCAAAGTCATTTTTCATTTAAAAAATCCTTTTCGATGCGTATTCGAACCCTAGATCTTCGTGATGACAGGCAGGCACCTAGCCACTACACAACCGTCGCTCCCTGCGTTACAAATGCTGGCATCTTTTGCTGCGTTTTATGTTCTGCACAGTATTTGAATACGATAATAGATTCTTTGAAAATAGCAAAGAGGGCATGCGTTAAAAAAAATATTTGGGGCAGGCCTATTAAAATGGAAATATAACAGCACTTCTGAGTCTGCCGGTAGTAACTAGACTTCCATGTTCCTTCACATGACATTCACATAGGAACAAGTTCTTTACCCTAATATATATATATATATACACACACTTGTATGTGTATCGTCATCCCCTTCTGCTGCTATATGTCACATATTGTTCACAGTCTAGTCCATTCCTACATACATACATACATACATACATACATACATACATACATACATACATACATACATACATACATACATACATACATACATACATACATACATACATACATACATACATACATACATACATACATACATACATACATACATACATACATACATACATACATACATACATACATACATACATACATACATACATACATACATACATACATACATACATACATACATACATACATACATACATACATACATACATACATACATACATACATACATACATACATACATACATACATACATACATACATACATACATACATACATACATACATACATACATTCATACATACATACACACATACATACATACATTCATACATACATACATACATACATACATACATACATACATACATACATACATACATACATTCATACATTCATACATACATACATACATACATACATACATACATACATACATACATACATACATACATACATACATACATACATTCATACATACATACATACATACATACATACATACATACATACATACATACATACATACATACATACATACATACATACATACATACATACATACATACATACATACATACATACATACATACATACATACATACATACATACATACATACATACATACATACATACATACATACATACATACATACATACATACATACATACATACATACATACAGACACACACACACACACACACACACACACACACACACACACACACACAGACAGACAGACAGACAGACAGACAGACAGACAGACAGACAGACAGACAGACAGACAGACAGACAGACAGACAGACAGACAGACAGACAGACAGACAGACAGACAGACAGACAGACAGACAGACAGACAGACAGACAGACAGACAGACAGACAGACATATATACATCGAAATCCACTGATGGCTGCGTGGATTTTTATCATGGTATGGGGCGTCGCAGGTCGACCCAGCCTAAAATTGGTACCAGGATGGCTGTCCTGTGGAAGTAAAGACGGCCGGCGTAATGATAAGCACATTACCCACCTAGTGCCCATTGGTCTGTAAAAATATGGGACGCTCTTCTTCCCATATGCCCGTTACGCCTAAGGCGTGAAAAGGGATCTAAATCGCATGCCATGACCTACTTTAGCTAGAGACGGTCTTGTGCAGGCGTTACTAGTTGACTACCAAATCGCAGTTGCTAGCTGATTCAGTGACTGGTAAAGATCAGGGAAACTGTAAAGTAAACGCAAACGTCATTGTTCGAACTGATATGTATTGTGACAACATATTGGTTGCACCCACCAGGACATAAAGACCCGTTTGTTTAGTATTCAGTGTGTTTGCATACACATTGGTTTCGTTTTGCATGGAAGCCAGGATGGTAAACAGTGATCGAGAGAGTACTTCTGCATTGTTACATTGAGTCAACAATGCCAGAAAACGGTCATGGTTTATGGTATTCGCTTTCACAGTTTTGAATGATTCTTATTCCACATATGGCTTCCAGGACCCAATTTTAGGACGTAGCAATGTTGTTGCTTAACTGTAAATCACAATACAGCGTGCCAACCTCTCCTTTTAAGCACGGGCGCTGCATAATAAGAGGACAATGTAGATAGAGCATGGGAGAAGAAGTATGAAGAGGAGGAGGGGGAGGAGGAGAAGAAGAGGAAGAAGAAGACGAATTTTCTTCTTACAGTCCTAACTGTAAATCACAACATAGCGTACCAAGCGCCCTTTTGAGGGCGAACGCAGCCGAATAGGGAGAGGGACAAGAAAAGACACAAGAGTTAGAGGAGAGCGTATGAGGAGAATAAACATAATAATCAAAATAATAATAATAATAATAAGAAAAATGCTTCTTCTTACAGTGTGGGTGTTGAAATGTCCGACTCCTGGTGCATAAAACCTGCGAAATCATTTGACCTGGCCCTGCCAAGTCCACTATAATTAGTTGTTTTACCATTTAAAGCAGGCCAATTTTAACGTTGCTGAGAGAGGCCAAAGTTTGCTTGACCGAATTCCATCCATGTTATTGAACTGATCGAATAGGATAGAATGGAATTGACGAATAGATTGCAAGCCCTATGTGACATATAATGGCACAACAGGATCATGAATGAATCAATGCAATTTTATTTGATAATTTTATATATCCCTGACGATGTTATAATTATTGAAATTGCCGTTAGAAAAAAAAAAAGAAAAAAAAAAAAAAAAAGACACGGCACCTCTTTTACAAAAAAGTATATGCTGGTTGATGTTGGTACATCCCTGCCCACATCCTTTAGTTTCATGATCTGCCAATAATTTCTGATAATGGTTGTCTTGAACTTCTGGCAGCAAACTGCTCAATACCTTCTTCGTCTTCTGCTCTTCCATTTCAACGTCCCGTGGCCATGACATACTCTAATTCCCTCCTCACTGCGTGACCAAAGACTGTTGATTTCTCCTTTTCTGTTGAGCGAAATGAATAACTGAATTCTTTTTCTTCTCTAGTCCTGTTTTGCCGTTTAGCATCATGTTTTGAAGAGGCATCGGGTGTGAGTCTCTGAACCACGTAGATGCTGATTTACAGCCTTATATATTACATCTATCCATCGCTTACTTGTCGACCTCTTTGCTCTGCTTCCGTTGCGCCCAAATGACAAGGCTCTCTGTGGTGCACTGTCTCGTGGTAGTCTTGACGCATGTCCGAACCTTTTAATCTGCAGTTGGGAGATTGGATCAGTCAAGAATTGACATCTCTGCAGTTAGGGGATTTGATCAGTCAAGAATTGACATCTCTGCAGTTGGGAGATTGGATCAGTCAAGAATTGACATCTCTGCAGTTAGGGGATTGGATCAGTCAAGAATTGACATCTCTGCAGTTGGGGGATGGGATCAGTCAAGAATTGACATCTCTGCAGTTGGGACATACCCAGATATGCTCTGACCCTTGCTGGGTATTCAACGAAGAATTCCTATACTAATGGTACCAGTTGCCTGTCTTTTCTCTACGCCTTGAATCTGTTTATCAGGATGTGGATATACTCTTTGTTCTGTTGGTCTCTCCTGTGCTGTGTGGTTTCCCGGGCTCTATTAAAGGGATAAAGAAAACATCATCTGCCCCCCCC